TTTTTCATTATTGTAAGCAGCCATATATAGGGCATGGGCCGAAAGAAACAACTATTTAATGGGCCACATTATTATATGTATTGTTAGTTTTAACAATAAAGGCACTCTCTATCTCTTTAAATTTTGATCCATGCCCACGGTGGGCAGTGCTCACCATTTTGTTTTATATGAAAAACGTATTCTGAGAATACGTTTTTCAATTAAATTAATTGAAAAACGTATTCTCAGAATACGTTTTTCATATAAAACAAAGTGGTGGGCACTGCCCACCGTGGGCATGTGAGCGGGACTATCTCTTTTAAAATTTTTAAAATACTAGTACATAGTCCGTGTGTTGCACGAAACAAAGATGTTACATGAGTTATTCATAGGGTTTTTGCGTGACCTAAAATACAGTTGAGTTGCATCATCTATTTTTCACGTTTTGTAATCAGCGTAGTTGTTAAGTCAAAACGTTAAACCTGGGTCTTTTAGCGCAAATAAATTAATTAATATAGTACTATTCGTTAACACATTTATACTAATATGAATTTACTTTTAGTATAATATTTATTTCTTGATATAAGAAAAAATAATGATTGTAGTTATTCTTGCTCACCGTATAATGCTTATTTAATATTTAATTATTAAATTTGTTGTCTTATAATGTCATTATTGTTATTTATAACAGTCATATAAGTAGTCTTCATTTTATTTTGAGTATTGAAAATTATCTGTACATTAATATTATTTTTTAATGTAATTAATAATACACATATTAGTCTAAAATAAAATATTGTGGATATAATTTATAAAATATGCACACATATTTTTTTATAAATTATTTTTTTTGTAATAATTAGACATCATTATTTATCAATTTCCAAAAACTAAATAACTTCTATAATCAATTTTTTTTTTTTCTAATTTGCATTCTAAGGTTTTATAGTTTATTTAGCATACTATGCAGTGGAAGTATATTATACAAAAATTTCATCATGGAAAGAAATCAAAATAAGAAAGATAAAAAAAATTAATCATGGATGCAAATAAATCAAACGTTGAAATTTTAAAGAATAGTTATATATATTTCAATTTTATTATCTGTATATCTGAATATTATCTCTTAATGGTAAATTATATTAATTTTAAAAACATGTTTTGTTATATATACTAAAATAATGCTTATGGCAAAATTATAATGGCAGAGATTAATTCACCAACTTGATTTTGCTTGATTAACTGGAAGAGAAAAAAAAAGTTATCTAATCTGTTATAATTTTCTATAAATATTTTAGGGTGAAGAGTCAATATTTGTGAAAAATTTAGTAATATGGTTGGAACTTAAAATATGTTCTCATTTTATATTGACCAAAATATATCAACAATTTGAATCCTTTTTTTTAAGGCTATGTTTGGTAAATCAAATAAGCTAGCTTATAGCTTATTTGGTTAGCTTATAAGCTTTCTGTATTCAAATAAGCCCCGTTTGGTAGGACGAGCTTATTTAAAAAGCTCGAGCTTATTTGATAAGCTTGTTTAGGTAGCTTTTCAAATAAGCTAGTTGAATTTTTTATTCCAGCTAGCTTGTCAGCTAATTTTACCAAACACTTTTATCATATAAGCTAACTTTTCAGCTATAAGTCATAAGCTATAAGCTATAAGCTCGAAAATTACATATAAGCTATAAGCTACCTTATCAGCTATCAGCTAGCTTATCAGCTAGTTTTACCAAACATAGCCTAAGTTTATTATAATGAATATCAATGAAATTATAGCAGATATCAATAAAATTATTCAAGGAATAATTTTTTTGATTATATCTGATTAGATTTGATTTGATTTGACACGTGTATATGCAGACAATTAATACTTATATTTAATAAATTTTCAAATAAGTTTACATTAATGTTCCTAGATTTTTTTGTTGCCATTATTAGTAAATAATTATTCTCTTTATACATATATAGATATAGATATAGATATATCACATTTTTGCAATAGTTATGCGTGTTTCCATAATTACCCTATTATATTACTATAATGCACACTTAAAAGACTTATTTAACTCTTGACTTGAGGGAGAGCTTTGCCGCCCTTGTGGTCCTATCCGGCTCGATTCCAGATTAGACGGTTCTCCTGTACAGTACAAGAAAATGATGAAATTCCAACGGAAATATATTTCAAAAGAATTATTCTAACGGCAATTCCAACGGATATTTCAATACTATTATTTCCGTTGGAATTTTTCAATGGATTCCAACGAAAATTCCAACAAAAATATTCCGTTGGAATGAGTTTTCCATTAGAATTTCCGTTGGATTTTGACGATTCCAACGGTGGATTTTCCAACGGGGTAGAAAAAAAAATTCCAACGGAATTTGCATATTCCAACGGAAATTCGTACGGTAAAAAGCCGTTGGAAATATAGCCGTTGGAATCATCAAATTCCATCTAAAATTCCAATGAAAAACACATTCCAACGGAATATTTCCGTTGGAATTTCTGTTGGAACTATTCCAACGGAAGCTATTCCATTGGAATATCCGTTGGAATTTCCATTGGAATATATTACCATAAGATTTTTCGTTGGAATATAACATTTATTTTGTAGTGGTAGATCCGGAAACCGGAAGGTCCATGTACCAAAAAAAAAAAAAAAAAAAGACTTATTTAACATATAATAATTGTTGTCTCCAGAGGTTTGATAGTCATTTAAGAGGTTTTGATAGCCAAAGCTCCAATAGAACAATGACAATTAATTCAGGGTTTCAAGAGGTTTTGATAGCCATTTAACGCTGATGAGAGAACCATATGTATAATTGTATATATGACAAATTAAAAAAGACTGAGATATATTAGGTCAACAACTCGTACATGGTTTAAAATCCCAAAAAATACATGATATTAGATGACAATTGCATGCAACTAAAACCAACAACCATTGAACTAAAATTACACATTCCCTTACCCAATCCATACATGAAGAAATCGAACCTAGAGAGAGACCTTCATAACCCATCACTCACTCGACGACTTGTCCGGGTATCTCACATACAACGTGTACTCGATCACGCCGTGGTTCGTCTCCACATCGTACGAATATAGCCTCGTGATCGCGTAACCGCGCGCGAACCGAAAAACCCCCGTGCCCCCGACCACTGCCAGCTCGCGCGTCGGGTCGTCTAACTGATTCCGCCCGAGCATGCAGATCGTGCTGCCTGCGATTTCCCCGGACATGAAGTAGAAGTTGAGGTTCATGGCAAGTGCCGTCTTCGCCAGGTCAGCGGACGTGATCAAACCCTGGATCCGCCCGACCTTTTTCGAGGTCGGGTCGGGCAGGGCGGTCAGGAGGTCGTCAAGGGCGCGGACCTGCCCGAAGCCTGTGGGGGAGGTCGACGTGATCGAGGCCCGAGCAACCTCGTACACGGTCCGGTTTTCGCCGCCGAGGACGTCTTGCACGTAGAAGTGGATCTTGGCCGAGACCTCGCCGCCCGATCGACTGATGACGTGGAACCATGCTGACGTGGCACGTTCGGGGGCTAGGGCATTTATGGTGCTTTTGGTGACTAGGAAAAATGAGGTGAAGTAAAGAATATTGGTGATCACACTAAGGTTAGCCATTCTTGATCATGATTAAGTTTGTATTTGTCATCTTGGGTTTTATAGAGGGGGTGTTGTGGAGGGGCGTGAATGGAATTATGTTAAAATTTTGGGGCTGATGTGTAATTAATTAGGAATTTGAATGAAATTATCTACTAATGTGGGGGCCGGGAGGCAAAGTTTGACTTCGTTTTTTTTGTTTCATTGTTTGTCATTATTGTAAGCTGCCATAGGCATTTTATATAACTACTAAAAGTGAAGTTAATAAAATAACTCAATTAGACAGCTCATAAAACGAGATTGTATTGACTGTCAGGTGTAACTAATTCGCATATATTATCAGAACGTGGTGCAAGAGATAAAATATTACAACTACATGAGTGACTTAATTATATAACACGCACCAATAATTTTGACTTAGTGATTATAATAATTACTACTTGTACATTCTAATGTAATTTTAATCGCCTTGTTCTTTGAATTCCACTAGCCGAGATAACTCTAATTAAGGTTTATCGAGGATTTATTGCTCCAAAATCATAGTATTAACATTTCCTTCTAATTACATGGATGAATGTCGCGTGTGTTATTATGAAATTATCATATATCAATCTATATTTATATCTATATCTCATATTATTTATGGTTGTTGATATTAATCTGATTAATTATATTCACCGATATAAATAATTAAAATATATAATAAAATAATTAGAATAACTATGTTTGAATTATACTAATTTAATGAATAAATTAATTTTTTTTTTCGAAATGTAGTCAACTTAACCATAAAAAGGTAAACCTCTAATGATTATATCATTTGTAATGATAATATTATTGAAAATTAAAATAATATATTATTAAAATAAATATTTGATGGTCGGGTACAAATCGGAATTATAAGTTTCACCTTAAGAATATCTATAT